TACTAATTTATAGTGCAATCCTGACTATCCCAGATGAGTAACAGCTGGTTGAGCTGACACTGAGCCACCAAGGCCCTGTCGGATCCAAACCCCCTCTAGCACAGAGAGATTGGAAACTCCTCAGGACTACTCTGACTCTGGCCTAACTTTATGCTAGGATAGCAGATAGGAGTTTGAGCTGAGAGGGAATTTGTTTATGGTCTCAACAGCCACGGCAGTTATGTTGGCAGATCTCAGGTCAACCAGCACAAGGACAGCTGTGCCAGCATCAGGGGCAGAAGCTGCCAGTGAGGGTTAGGATTCTGACAATAACGCACAGTAAGCTTCAGGCTCATATGTTATACTTCTGTCTCCTTCTGGTTCTGCCACAAGGCTTGAAGGCTGTGATTTTCACAAGGCTGCAATTTTCCTTTAAAATTTACTATGGTTTGTCACAACATCTAAACCAGTGACGGCGAACCTATGGCACACGTGTGACATCTGGCACGCGAAGCCCTTCTGGCACGCGAGTGAGTGGCTTGACATCTGGCACGCGAAGCCCTTTCTTCTGGCACACGAGTGAGTGGCCCTCCCACCCACCATTGTGGAAATGAACTTTTTGAAGTGGCTGCAGCTGGGATTCCCCCTTTCTCTTCCTGTTCTGGGTCCTTTAACTTCCTATCTGTCCCCATGATCCCCCCTTTAACTTCCTGTCCATCCCCATGATTCCCCCTGAAACTGCCACTTCCTGTTCCGGTTCTGGTCTTCAGGGTGGCATGGCAGCCACTGGTTTCTTCCCCACCCCCTCATTTTGGGCACTTGAGCCAAAAAAGGTTTGCCTCCACTGATCTAAACCCAAAGAAATGTTGGTCTTTATTAACTATGGTTTGTGGAAGATTGCTGACTCCAAATCACAGTTTATAAAGTTGGTTTATTTTTCACTAAACATAGTTAAAATTAGCCACAGATTGGGGTTTGTACAGTTAAAATAGCAGTTAATCTAAAATGGGAATTTAAAAACAAAACAAAAATAGGCTATGTGGTCTCCAACCCCCCCCCCCCCCGAATATAAATGCAGAAGCAAGCAATACCTTTATTAGGCCACTGAAAAATTAAAGTAAATTGCAAGCTGTTGATGGTAACATATCCCATCTCCCTCAAGTGGTTTCTAAAAGCTTCTTGAAGTGGTAGTTGTAGTTCATGCCAGGTAGGCATTCTTGAGTAGCATGCAAACAGCTTGTGGGATGGGTGGGTGAAAATTCCTTCACCAGGAGCATCAAGTAGCATTTTAGAATGTATGTTCTATCTCTTGAAACAAAGAGTCACCAAGCGGTCTGCATCCCTATCTAGTCATGTGTCAGGCCTCCACCAGAGAGCCGGGATTAAAATTTAGTTTGATCACCAGGGAAGGCCAATTTTAGTAAATCAACCATCAGATTACCTAGTGGATGTTTTCTTTAGTGTGCAGTGCTGCTTTACTTGGTGTCAAAAGTCCATGTTGTTGGATTCCTGGCCAGCCATTCAAGGGCTATCTTCAGTTCAGGAATACAAAAAGTAAAAAGAGGCTGTGTAGGCTCCAAAAACACACACCCAAACAATGTAAATACAGAAGCAGGTGGTACTTTTATTATACCACTGAAAAAAATCAAGTAAAGTGCGAGCTTTTGATGGTAGCATATCCCTTCTTCCTCAGGCAGTTACCAAAAGTGAAATCTTTCCTTGTAGCCATGCCAAAGTAGGAGAAAGATTAACATAATTGTAACTGGTTCTTGTAAGGCTAACCCACAGTTTAGTGTTAAGTACACAGTAGGCCACTGTGGAAGATTTCTGTAAGATATACAAGCTAAAGAATAACTGTGATCTGTCACTATTCAACAGTTACCTCAGAGACAGCACATACTGTATACTAATTTTTTTAAATAGAACAGTGACTAGAAAAAGTTCCAGAAAGAAAAACTTGTGCCAGAAATCATGGGACTTTTTAGCCCTGGTTGTGGCAAGCTTTATTTTGCAAAAGAGAAAAAGCTAAAATGACAAATTAAAGATGACAGGTCAAACTGGAGCGACACTTAAACCAGGTAGAATTCTAGCTGTTCCTCTGCCATGGCCCGACTTGGTTGAATATCTACACTGTGGTCAGGGAACAGGGGTAAATTACCCCAAATGGCATAAAAATGAAAATCCTGGGGGTAATGAGCAGAGAGCTACCCCACCCCCCGCCCCCTGCAGTCGAACCTCAAACTGTAAGCCACCTATCCCTGCTAACTTCCTTGGTTGCAGCACTTGTAAATCAGTTATTTTAGAGATCAGAAATAAGGCTGCTTTATTGTTTACGGCTGTAGAACAGCCCAGGGCAGTCAATCCAGCTTGTGAATGACTACTACCGCCGGAGGTGGAAAGCTCCAATTAAGGCGGGAAAGAAGGTGCGAGAGAGGGACGGGTGGATTCATCAAGCTTGTTTAAAGGTAAAATTGTAGAAAATTTAGGGAGGGAGGGTGTATGTGAGAGAGAGACTGACTTTCATGAAACCATGAAAAAAGGATGTGATTGCAAGGAGAGAAGGCTCGAATTAAGGTGGGAAGGAAGCTGTGAGAGAGGGACCGGGTGGTTTCATCAAGCTTGTCTAAATGTACTGAGAGGAAACTGACATATGTAACTGAAGCAACTGATTGTTAAAAAATTATTGTGTGTGTGTGTGTGTGTGTGTGTGTGTGTGTGTGTGTGAGAGAGAGAGAGAGAGAGAGAGAGCTGACTCTTTCATAAAACTATGAAAAAAGCAAACTTCCAAATGTAATCTCCACTGCACTTAGTTCTGCAGTTTCTGCTGAGAAGAGCAAGTACTTCAAGATTCTGTAGATGCTGAATTTGTACTGGGCAGAACTGTAATATTTAGAAGAGTCTCACTAACAGCAAACACCTAGTAAAAGACAACTGACACACCTGAGATTAGATGTCTGAAGTGTGTAGCAATTGCATTTTTCTATTTCTCATCCCTAAAGCAGGCAAGAGAATCATAGTTTATTCCCCAAATCTGAATCCCCGTCTCTCTGCTCCTGATCCTGCTTTGATTGCAACACCAAACAAAAGTCTTACAAACAAAGACTGTGGCTTTCATTATTGAGTCAATCCATCTCATGTGCGTTCTTGCTCTTTTCCTGCTGCATTGTACTTTTTCCTGCATTACTGCCTTTCCAGTGAGCTTGACTTCTCATGATGCCACTGTAATACAATACCCTTTGTTTGATTGTTTCAGCTTCTAGTGGGAGTCCACACTTAATTTGCTTTACTTATCTCTCTGACAAGTCATGTTATCTGTAAAACTCTTTTCGAACACTACATTTCAAATATGTGAAATGTGTGTATACACTTTATGTAGTGTATAAAATGTGTATTAAAAGTCTGCACTCCTATACAGTATAGCTGCTTTTCTGAGGGTGGTTTACTTTGGAGGAAACAAGTCCAGGATTTCAGTGTACTTAATAAGATTTATAAATGTGAGATTGGCAGGGTTCAACACTTTTACTTCCCTTCCCATGCTGTGTTTAAAACTCTGCTACATAAATTCTGTATGAAACATCTTCTAATACAGAGATTGCACCTGACATAAGAACTACATTTATGTCAGATCCTTTTATGTGGGAAGTTGCATCTCTGCCTCTACTGTGGCATTAATAGAATTAACTAAAAAAAGATCTTAGCACTCTGAGATTGTATGGAAAACTGGGAGAAATGTGCTGTGTATCATTGTGATACACAAAAAGGAAATGCCAAGGTTTAAATAAGACTCTTCCACTGTAGGATACCACATACTTAATCATATACTGTTCTATTACAGGTAGCATGTGACACAAAAAGTTTGCAAAAAGTGGGTAGTTGATGAATGGCTCAAGATGGACTTTGTAATAATGGGGCAATGATTTTTATGGACAAGATCCCAAGGTTAAAGGGAAGTTAAACAAACTATTTAGCATGGATTATGGGGCAAGGTATATTTTAGATCAGGAACCCAAATGCCAGTGATTTTAACATTTTTTTGTAATTGTGGCAGTGGACAAAGGCAGCTTCTATAAATGATACTGTACTAGCAAAAGCTGAAGAGGGAACAAACAACTTACCTAGCTAGATTTAGGTGGGTGGTCAAACACCAAGACCAAGCCAACTTGCCCAGAAGTTTCTATTCTAGTTTGATCCTAAAATTCTGTGAGTTAAAAAACCCAAGAAAAGTATGGTCTCCCCAAATCATATATAATCAATATTTTGAATTACAAAGATGTCTCCAAAAAATGGAGGAACACAGCAGTATGTAGTCAAAAAAAATACACATATTCCTGTTGAGTTTTCATTATGCTCAGTTTGATTTCTATTCAGAATTGCTCTGGTTTAGTTAAGCATCTTTAAAAATTATCTTACATGTATTTTGTATCTGAAAAGCTGTGAACCAGTATATTTTTAACGCCAGCTGCTATGTAAAGTTGCCTCAACCTGATAACCATCTTAAGTCCCCTCCTTTTTTTTGCCCTTAGTCCGGGCACCATATTATGAAACAAATAGGTTACCAAAAGTGGAAACGAAACAATGTTACTGCAAGAAATTAGCGCTATTGGTCCACCTTATCTTCTCACTTTAAAAATTTTGCCCTACACAATTCGCCCTGTCTTCCCCTTTTGAAACCACAAGTGCAAACCGGCTTTTGTCAGACACTTCCTTCTGTCCCAGCCTTATAGGTCGTTAAGTCCATCCGCAGCGTGTCGTCTGGACACAACCAGATTCGGCGCCAGCAACCCAAAGCTCAGCGCTAACTCTGCTCAGTCAGTCAAGGCGGCTCGAACCCACAGCAGCCTGTTTGCGAGGCTACAACAATGCCACGTACATTTGACGCACTGAACCTGCAGCCAAACCCAGGAAAGGGTTAACGAGCCCTACCCCCACCCCCACGCCCCCCTCCCCGGTGCGCAGCAGGTTTCCCTTCCACAGCGGACGGAGGTCGCTCCCTCCCTCCCTCCCTCGCCGGCTCTTTCGTCAGCGCCGCCACCGCCTCCGCCTCCCGAGGGGGCGGGCCTGCCCGGGTATCGCCGAAGCGCCTGGTGCCTCAGGAAGCGGGAGGGACGTTGCATGTTTGACTGCGGCCTTTTGACGGAGGGGGTCTGCGCGGGCGGGCGGGCGGTCCGTGGTGCTGAAGGAAGGAATGGCGGCGTCCGCGGCGGAAGCCCCCCTGGCGCAGGCGGCGGCTGAACAATGGCTCCTGTGGGACCAGGTGAGGAGGGGAGGGGAGAGGGCGCCTGGGAGAGCATTTGGAGGAGCCCGGAGGAGGGTGGAAGAGAAGGACGGCGCCGTGAGTGCCGGAAAGCGTGAGTGCCGCCGGCAGGCAGGGAGGACGGACGGCCAGCCAGGGAGCGAGCGAGCGAGCGGACGGCTTTCCTTCCCCTTCTCGCCTTCCATCACGGGGAGCCTCCCCTGCGGCGGCGGCGGGACTCCTGCCTTCCTTCCTTCCTGTTCGCGCTGCCGTTCGAGAGCGCGCGCTGAGCTTCGGGGCCATTCGAAGGCAAGACGTCGCATTCCCCCGTCTTGGAAGGTCGGCCGCTGTTTTCGGAGGGCCTGGTGCCAAAGAGGACACGGCTGGCGCTGCTCATGCAACCGCTGTCGAGAAGAGGGGGTTTCAAAAGATGCCCTTCGTTGCCACAAGTTGCACCTGTTGAACCCCCCCCCTCTCACTCACTCACTCACTCACTCACTTCTGCATGGCTGTTTAAGCTGCAGAAGCCTTCTGCTCGTTTGCATCTAGCCAGCTCCGTTTTCAGCCCCAGTGCCTAGGTAGGCCCTGACAAAAGAGGGGTTTTTACCCACTGAGGTTTGGAGCCGGAGTTCTAAAGGGCAATCTGACTCTCTCCTCAGACTTAGGCTCTGTTGAGGTCAGTAAGTTTATCCCAATGGAATAAAGTGACAGATGTGGGCTCCTGAGGCCTGTGTTCGAATCCCTACTCAGCCATGGAAACTCACTGGGGGAGCGGAAGTGGTAAAACCACCCCTTACCTTGAAAGCTGTGTTAGGGTTTTTATCTATTGGTTCTGACACCCAAAAGTTTGTATCGGATTGCATTCCTGCACTTGTCTCATCCTGTAGTCCTATGCTTATTCACCATGAAAAAGTCATTCTGTGTTGTCAGGTGTAGTTCCTAGAACACTGAGAATTATAATTTTACAATGTAATGTTGTGGCCAGAATCCCCTGCCTTTGGGATTTACAGTGTTCTTAATGTGATTGTATAAATTTTGATGGTGAATGACTACTAATTAATAGATTGCTGGGTGCTTTTGTGTCATGTATCACGTGATTTGATGCGGGAGCAGGAATGGAAGTAATGGTTAATTAGTGGCAATTTGCCAAAGCGATTTATGTGATTCTACTTATTCCACTGTAGATCCCCAACAGGATTCTGGCCTATGTGTGTTTACTCAAAATTAGATCCTCCAAGTTAATTGAGGCTCCATAAATAGGTTTAGGGTTAGGAATAAATAGATCCAGAGTAATAGGACAACTTCATGCAGTTAATATACTTCACTGTTATCTGTTAATCTTGTAATATACAGTGGTGTCCCGCATCGCGACGTTAATCCGTTCTGGATAAAACATCGCTATCCGGAAACATCGCTATACGGAATATAAAACCCCATAGGAACGCATTAAACTCCGTTTAATGCATTCATATGGGGGGTAAACTCACCGCTAAACGGGAATCCTCCATAGGGCCGCCATTTTCGCCGCCTCGGTAAGCGAGGAATCGGCGTGAAAACACTGCGGGCGGCCATTTTCTTCATCCAGTGGCCATTTTGGAACCACTGATCAGCTGTTTCCAAAACATTGCAATGCGAAGATCGGTAAGCGAAACACCGATCATCACAATGGGATGTTTTGCCATATAAAACATCGCAATGCAATTGTAAAAACGATTGCAAAATCCGCATCGCTATGCAGATTCGTCGTTAAACGGTGCACTCGTTATGCGAGGCACCACTGTAGAATGTACATGTTAATGCAATAGATTTATCTCTTTAGCTAAAACATCTTTAACACACCCTTTGTGCACCCACTCAAAGCTGCTGGATCACAGTATGAATTAAAATATTAAATTGGTTTATACTAGCTCTTGTGGGGTGAAGAAGATAGTGGAAATTGAGCCTAGAGAAAGGTTGAGATGAGTCACTAAATGTTGAATAGCCACTGTGCAGATGTTAGCTACAAGTGGCACAAGTTGAATTGGTAAATCTCCCGAACAGCAGCAAAACATCTTATGTCTTGGGGGCCTGGCTATGGCACAGACAGGTGAAATGCTGTGCATCTTCAGCCATGTTGCACTGCTGTCTGCTTCTTGGCTGACTTGAGGCACATTTATCAGTGTTTGTAGTATACCACAGTGTGCCCTAAAATGACACTGTTTTTCTACTTGGAAATCGGATGTCCTCTTGCCAGATAGTTTTAACTACCTGTACACTGCCTGACCTTTCCATTTTTTAAAACTGGATCCAGAGTAAGATAGTCACTCTTGGTTCCACTTGAAAGCAGTAAGGCTAAAGAGAATCACCATAAATAACTTTTTACAGTAATTTCAATGGGTCCTAAATGTGGCAAACATATGAAACCAACACTAATTTTTTCAGTGAGTATTTAGGTGAACACGTGAGAAAGGAGGTGGATAATTACTGGAAGGAGCTTTATGCTTCAATTAATATAATTTATTTCATAATGTCCTACTTCCTCCCTGGTTCTTCCTCATTCTACTATAGCCTGATGTGAGAGAGCCTTCCCTATGCCAAGGAGAAGCACTGCTCAACTCACTCTTTAAATCTTGGTGTTCATTATTACTCTGCTGGCATCATTACATCTCTTAATTTATTTTGGATTTCTAATTATAGTGATAGATTCACTATCACTATAGGTAGTTCCTGCTGCCACCTCTGTTACATAGGTGTACTAGAAGTATTCTTGTCAGTAAAAAAACAAGGCATATACAAGTTTATTTACTAAGACACCTGTTAATTAAATCTAACCTTGAGCATTACTTGTCCTTGAGCATTACCAATAATTTCTGATTTGCAGACATTGACTGATTAGGAAATACAGAAGGATTGGAGATGGGGTGGTGATAATGGGGTGGGATGAAGTTCCTATAGCTTTTGCTCATTAGCATGGGTTGAAAAAGACAACATTTATAAAGAAAATACAGTATTGGATCTACTGCCATTTTTACTATAATTTCTTTCTTCAAAACCCATTAACAGTTTTAAACCCTGAGAACACCAATGAATACAACACTGCATTTTCTCATTATCCAGTGTAACCTTCATCAAGAGGCATAAGATATATTCAGTGCAGTGGTGGTTATGCAGCATGTTGGGTCATATGCCCAGTTCATCCTATGATTGCTGTAAGTTATGAATGGCCTATAGTACATGCCATATCCCGTATTACACAACCATATGTAGCTGATGGTATGAGTGACTACCGTATTAAAATTAGATTTTAGAACTTTCTATATGCTTTTCGTAGAAACTGTAGTTGCAAAATTAATCAGCACCACTCATATTTCAATCTTTTCTTTTAACTTTTGTGGATGTTATTTTGCTTCAGTTGTTTTTTAAGTACTGTATGTGTATTCATTTGATACTCTGCCTGGCTTACAAAAATAACTATTAATCACTTCTAAAGACTGAAATCACTTTTTTTCTGATGCTTTTTATTGTTTCAAATTCTCTTAAAACTGCAGAGTGTATTTGATGAATCATCATTAATCTTCCAGGGAATTAGATCTGAAGTACAGTGCAAAAGATCATTCTCCTAGGAGCTCTAGCCCTAAATATTTCTTGTGCAGTCCCATTTTGAAACTGTGTTGACCTTTACATCCAGATCAGTCTGTGTTCAGGCAGAGGACTACAGTGTTGGTTTCATAACAGAAGATGGTTACAAAATCTAAAGTAAATTTCAGCCAAGATCATTGTCCTGATAAACAGTATAGTGTGGCTTTACTATCAGAAAACAAGGATCCAAACTGGCTATTAGACACATAGATCCTCTCAATCTTTGGATGAACGGAGTGCCTAGATGGAACATCTGGGAAAGTACCGTATTTTTTGCACCATAAGACGCACTTTTCCCCCCTCCAAAAGGGTGGTAGAAAGTCTGTGCGTCTTATGGTGCGAAGGTGGTGACTTCGCCCCCACTGGCCCCGTGGGGGGGAGCGTCAACAGAAGATGGTTACAAAATCTAAAGTAAATTTCAGCCAAGATCATTGTCCTGATAAACAGTATAGTGTGGCTTTACTATCAGAAAACAAGGATCCAAACTGGCTATTAGACACATAGATCCTCTCAATCTTTGGATGAACGGAGTGCCTAGATGGAACATCTGGGAAAGTACTTGCTTTCTTGCACTGGAGGAAGTTTTGTATTTTTTAAAAGCAGTACAGTGCATCTACAGGATGATGGTCTAATACACTTCTAAAAGGTCCCCCCCCTTACTCTGCCCCTTCACAGAGCAAAGGAAGTGTTTAATGTGGCAATATCCTGAAATGGCTCTCTTTTTAAGCCACTTCCAATACTGGCAAATTGATAGTGGCTGGTGAGGGCCAAATAGTATCGCTTGAGATCTGTATGCCATTTGGAAGCAAGGAATGCATCAAATGGCATACTGGACCTCCTAGTGACCCTATTTAACTCAATCTAGTCCACTCCAAAATATCATGTAGACAAGCCCTATATTAAGACAGGAATAGGATCGTGAGGCAAAAGTGATTGTCAGACCTATGTCCTAAATGAATGTCATTTGCTTGGTCTCCTTACTATGCTTTACTATGTATATTGCCCCAAGAATTTTTGATAGTTAAACATGTCAGCTGGAAATCTTCAATACGAGGACGAGCGTGCCTGCTACAGAGGGAACCAACTATGTATACCAAGAATTTTTGATAGTTAAACATGTCAGCTGGAAATCTTCAATACGAGGACGAGCGTGCCTGCTACAGAGGGAACCAGATACCATCTGCCAACCACAGCCCACTGGGTTGGGTGCAGTGGAACTGTGGTTGGGCCCCTGTTGGATGCCAGCTCTTTCTCAAGGGAGCTGGCTCAGCCTTCCCCTGTGCCGGCAGGATCAGGCCCTGCTGCTTCCGGCTGCCTCATCCCCTACCAACACCGGCCACCTGGCCCAGGGGGAGAGAAAGCTTTTAGCCGGAGCTTCCCTTGGGACCTGACCGGACAAGCGT